CAACAGTGGCAATCTAATTGGTACTTCCACAGCATCAACAATCCAAACAGCAAGTCAGCAGCAGAATGCCAGTTCCCATTTTGTTTTTGTTCATGGAGCAGGCCACGGCCACGGTGCTCGTACAAGGTAATCGATCAACTACAGAAGCGAGGCCACATGGTCAGCGCCGTTGACTTGACCAGCGCGGGGATCAACGGAGTTGATCGCCGGTCTGTGACCAGCCTGGAGCAATACTCCGGCCCGCCTCCGATCGGGCTATTTTATCCCCATTTATCCTTCCATGGCCATAGCAAACCTCCATTAGGAAAGCATGCCCGTCACGTTGGCCATGCGTGGTCATGTTCTATGTCCACCAGTGGGTACAACTGCTCGCCCGGCATCTGAAATGAATAAAACCTGTTGTTAATAATCTTTGATGGAAACAAAAGAATCTATTCTAATGTGGACATTTGAAGTTGCCCCTACTTCAATTGGCACAGGAATCATTCAGGGAGCACCACTAGTTCTAATAGTTAGGTTCCCACCACACAAAATCACTATCATCACTTCCATAACTCATTACAAAAGAAAAGATTTTTTTATCTTTGGCTAAAAAATCTATTTGATTTTTTTCCTCAATATGTTTTAGCTAAATTTCTGTTTTATCATGTATGAAATACATTTTTAATTTTAATTTTAACTTTAATTTTAAAATTATAAATCTCAAAAATATTTTTAATGTATTATATATATAAAAATATTAAAAATAGGTCTAGTTTAAAGGAAGACACTCACAGTAATTCTCATTAAGTTAATAGATTGTTTATTTATTTTAAATTTCAAATTTTAAATTAAATATTAGTTAAGTTCATAAGTTTTATTTGAGTTTTACTTTCTTCACTTCTTTACTAATATTGGATAATAGCGTAAATTTTATTGAAGAAAACTCCCACATAAAATTTCATAGATACCTTTTTAAATAATAAATAATTTATTACATACTATTTTATTAAAAGTCTAGTATAAATCATTAATATTTATAAAATATTAAATTTAAGAATTTTATATAATGACATTATTTTTTCTTTACTTTTTGGTGGAAGGGATTCAATATTTCAAAATTTATGACAACATTAAAAAATATATGTACACTCAAATGAAAACTATTTACACTATAAAGTGCAATAATAATAGAATACATATATATTTAATTTATATAATATAATATTTTTATTAAGTAATGATCAACACTTCTAAATGACACAATATCATGACTTATGCAAACCTCAGCATTATAATTTATTTTTTGTATAATTAATTTATTTATTATTTAGAAAATTTTATCATATTAATTAATGTTTTTAATTATATTAAAAATAATATTTTGTAAGAATTATGATTACAACTCAATTACTATTTACAATTTTTGTAACATTGAGTATTGTATACATTTGTTTTTTTAATATCCAACTTTTTTATATCAATACTATAAATTTTCAAAAAATCATAATTTTTTCTAAGTATGTAATATAACTTTTAACATTATCTTAAAATTTTATAAATTAAAGGAACATTTCTAAAATTTTGCATAAATCAACAGCATACCTCTTACAATCTAGGGATATTTGCTACTTCCCAGGAAAATTTTTATTCCAAGTCTCTTTAAGACCACTTAAAACTATTTTGTTTAACAATTTCTTTACTTTGCGACCCACCCTAGGTGCACTTCTCCTTTTGGGATACCTTCTTCAAATTTTATAGAACTTAATTAGAACATATTATATTTCTCCTTCTTATTCTTTAATACTTGTACATATTCATAAAATGTAGCCACTAGTACATAGTGTTGTATAGTGTGAAATGATTTTTGTGGCTAAATTTTTATTATGTAAGCATATAAAATGGCATAACATGTTTTGAGCCCTAAGAGACTTCAAATATATGTGAGTTTAAATTTCTTAAACACATATCTTTAAACGTGACTGTTTTTTTCAAGCCATGGGCATGCTTGCCACATTTGCATTATTTTATACACATCCTCATCAGGTAAGAATTCTTAATGCACCAGCTCATGCAAAATCCAAGTCAGTGAGTAAGGAGCCAAGTGAGAAGAAATCCTGCTGGCCCTAAAGGGAACTCTTGCTGGCCTACTTGCTCTATGAGACATCAAGTAGCAATTCAATCAAGCTAAGTGTCCACTTGCCGGCTGCTGTCGACTAATTTGGCAATACTATTGCTGCTTCATTAGGGCTCCTGACATTGTGGAGAGCACACAGTGCTCAAGCTCTTCACCAAGAATGAGGGTTTGATCCAAGGGAGTAGAATTGCAGCAGTAGTAGGAGGCAGGCCTTCGATGAGATTATCAGCAGATTGAAGCATTGTATGACGTGCTGGGCTCTAGCTGTTGGGTAGCATGTTTGACACGATTTAGCAATCAACATAGCATCTGAAAGCAACATAGTAACATAGAGATTCTCTACTATGTTCTTGGGAAGTTTGGGGAGGCTCATGAGGGTGGGTGGATCACCTGATCAGGCTTGTTTCGTGCTTTGCATGTTTTGTACAAGTTCACATACTTGCACACGTGGCATCAAATGTCTTGCCAATATTATAATGCATATAATCATGTTTTAATTGCTATATTAAAAATTAATTCTTAAAACTTATGAACCAAAACTTCCATTGGATTTGTATATTTGTTTCCAATCTAAATTTATATGGCACTTAACACTGAATTAAAATATGAAAAGCTTATATGTCCACTTTGATGGATAGCATAACGAACCTTGTATTTGGCTTCGAGTCTAGTCTGTAGAAAGACTTACACCAAGAAGTAACTATTCCCCTTGAGGCAGTGTCATTGCAATCTTGCTCCGAGAAGAAACCATTTCGAGATCCAGACTCTGATTTGTGTGAGGACTGTATTTCAAGAGTCTGACCATATAAGCTGGATCTTCTTTTTGTCTCCAGGATTGGATGTTGCTTGAGATGTGAGCTGCACTGTTCCTATATTGACTATCGACGAAGCTTTGGACATGTATGTCATGACCACGAGAATGCATGTTAGATATATATATACATCATTCTTGGATGTCAAGAATTCACTGAAAGTGTGCAAACATATATATGTTTGCACCCTTTCAGGTGAATTCTTGACATCCAAGAATGACTACATACAGGTATATTCGAGTGTATTCTAGTTGATTAACATATATTTCACTGCTAGTCTAGTGGAATAGCTCCCTGCCACAAAACAGACCCGGGTTCAATTTGGAAACGCTATGTTGTTTAGTCCTACAGCAGTTTTGTTGTCCTGCTGACACATTGTGTGCAACCTTGTTTGACACACAGAGTTCACAGTTTTTACCATCCTGCAATTTCTGACACATGTTATATGATGTGGATTAGTGAGTCTCAGTGCAAATATCTACCATTTGGCCAGCTGCTGAGCTTCCCATTTCTTTGAAGTTGAGACAAGAATGACATGTCCTCACGCTACAAAGTAAACGACATTAAACAATACGACATAAACTATGTGCTCGGGATTTGTCAAGTGTGATCACTCCTCCCATCCTTGCAAGAAGTCTTCACATTTGTCGAGCCATGAGACCACAATGCAATGGATGCAAATGAAAACTCCCCCAGCAACTATTAAGTGCTTGGCAACTATTAAAGTGCTTGGCAAAAAGCCTTTTACTAAGTTAGTCACAATCAACAATTCGCCTTCCATCACACGCAAGGGTTTTAAGTATATTCTGTAATTTAGGGTTTATACGGCATTGACAAGGTCTTTTTTCACGCGCTTTTAACTCCTTGATCTTGTCAATGCCGGACACTAGACACGACGCGAGGCAAAGTCTGACCCCCCGGGCACTGCTTAAATCTCTCAATCCCTAATCTTCCTGGAAAGAAGAAGAACCATGGCAAATCGAGTGTTCTTCCTCGCATTCTTCCACTTCGCAATCATTGTGGGCTTCTCCTCGGGGCTCGACACCGCCATTCTAGCCGATCTTCCCACCAGCAATCTCGCCGGGGCGTGGGCGGATCTCCTCTCGCTCGTCGACGCACACAAGGGCGATTCCAAGCCCGCGATCCAGAAGCTCAAATCTTACTTCGTGGATTTCGGCTACCTCGGCAACTCCACTCTCACTGCCGATCTCTCCTTCGATGACGCGCTAGAGGCCGCCGTGAGGCTCTACCAGCAGAATTTCCACCTCCCGGTCACCGGGAACCTCGATTCCGCCACAATAGCCCAGCTCGTCACGCCCAGATGCGGTGGAATCGACGTGGATCCCAGCGGCGTCTCGCAAATGCTCCAGAATCTCACCCATCCCGGCACTTCCCATTTCGTCAAGCACTACTCCTTCTTCCCAGGAACGCCCAGATGGGTCTCCAAGCGATCGCTCACTTACGCATTCGATCAATCCACGACGTCGCTGGCCTCTGGAATCCCCCTGAATTCTCTCCGGACGGCCTTTAGCAGGGGATTCCAGCGCTGGGCGAACATCGTCCCTCTCACATTCACAGAGACCTCGTCGATCTCCTCCGCGGACATCGTCATCGCGTTCGCGGGCTTCGATCACGGCGACCGGCATCCATTCGATGGGCAAATGGGCGTTCTAGCTCACGCATTCGCTCCCGAGGATGGGCGATTCCACCTCGACTCCTCCGAGTCCTGGAGCGTCAATGTTCGATCCGCGACGTCGCTGGCCGCGATCGATCTGGAATCCGTGGTGACCCACGAGATTGGACACCTGATCGGGCTGGGCCACTCGGGCGATTCCGCGGCGATCATGTTTCCCAGCATCGCTCCTCGGCAGATCAAGACAGCGTTTGGACAGGACGATATCGACGGCGCACAGGCGCTGTACGGAGCCAATCCAAACTTCGTGCCGGGCTCGACCACCGGTACGGACTCAAACGTCCAGAGTTCGAGCTCGTGGAAGGCCACGTTTTCTTGTTGGCATTTGCTTGTCCTCCTTGTCCTTGCCAAGATTCTTTTATAGCAATAGAAAGATTCTTTCCGGGTTTGATGATTCTAGGGCTCCTCCCACCGGTAGAGCGCCTTCTCGGGGTGGCGATTCCTTGCGCCGGCGCTGCCGCCGGATTCAATGCGGCATTGCTAGCATGGCAGGTGCGATCGCTGCTGCGAGCTGTGAATCGGGAAATTTATCGGGGATTTCTTGCGGATTTCTAGTGTGCAGGGAAGGCATTCCGGGTTTCTTGCGCTACCCCTGTTGCCGGATCGCTGCTGGGAGGCGTGGCGGTGGCATCGGCCTCGGTTCTCGCAGCTCAGGTTCTCGTTAATCAATTTCAGTCATAGATTTCTTTGATTCTTAGAGCTCTCTTTGCAACGCAGGTAGCGTTTGCGCTGGAATCTATTGTAGAAGAGGGCAATGGCAAGAGCCGGAAGAGGAAATTGCCGAGTGTTGGCGATCTAGTTCTTCATGCGGCAGTGGGCATGGTTTTGTTTAAGGTTTGCTTGGAAATTTTCATAGACTAGACAATGTAGCCTACTGTTCATACAGATACTTGGCGGGCACTACAGGAATGTGATGCCAAGTAGCTTAAGCCATCCTGGAGCACTCTCACGATACTCAGTGCCTGGTCAGTTTGCCTCCTTTGATTTTTTCTCTCTGTCCCTCTCGTGCTGATTATTCTTTGGTCAGCTAGAGGATCAAGGTACGCAGGCGATGTAGAAGCACAGCTCGTAAGAGACTTGTTTAGCAAGTATGGTTGTCATCACTGTGGAAGCTACAAAGGGACCAGGTACTCTCAATTTCCCTGGAGCTGACATTCACTCGTGAATTATTTTCTTAGCATAGCAGATCATATGCCACCCAACGTCGTGATGAAGAACAAGGTCGCCGAGAAACTGAGAATACTGAAAAAATTCAACTTTTCACTTGCCAAGCATGTATTCAACATGGTCCATAAGCTCGAGTTGCAACGGTTCTACCCGCAGTGCGAAGCGTGTATGAGAAAGCAGGGTGGAGCTTTAAGGCAAGGCAAAAACGAGCTCGTCTACCATTTTAGAGTTGGCTTCCCAGAGGTAAATAAGTATTTCAACGCCACAAAGAATTATTTTTGTGTTTTTTGTTGCAGCCTCCATATCTCACAGGTTTTTTTCTCAGTGCTCTCAAGCTAGAGGACAATAACCAGGTAGAAACCTCACGAAAAATTGGCGACAGTTTACTCATCCATGGTTTAAATACAGGGTACAGACAAAAAATGAATCACACCTTGACGAACTGGTGCCAGATTTCATAGTGATTGAACAAGAGACTATCGTGTGTCTGCTTGCCAACGTACTCCAGCTTCAGCTCTCGCAGCTTTTTGTTACACTCGTCTCCTCCGAGCCTGCTGCAAAACTTTATGTTGTGAGACACGAAAACTCTTCCACCCGGCTTGATCCTCGGCACGAGCTTCTCGAGACCAGTCCAGACGAGTTTATCAGGCATGTGAAGAAACGCTGCGCTTGCATAGACTACATCGTATTCATTGTCTCCTAACAGCTCGAATTCCAGATTGTCGCTGCGAACGATGACGGGTCTCTTGTGAAGCAGTCCTTGCGATGGCAACTCGTAAGAAAACGCAGCCATGAGCGAGAGCGGATCCTTTTCGATGCAGTGGTAGTTCCCGGCCGCGAGAAATCTGATGAAATGGAGGCCAACGCGCAGAGTTCCACAGCCAACTTCCAACACCCGGTGGTGTCTCTTGAGAGCCGAGGCCTTTGCGATGAACTCAAAGACGTCTCGACCTCCAGCCCAAGGCTCGCCATAGTTGCTGTGGTGCTGCTCGACGAGAAGCTCGCTCGGACAAGGTAATCTCGTGTGGTTTTTCTCTTCGCTTTCTTCGTAATGAGATATCCCGTGGTACCTGTAGGAAGGAAACGCCAGCTCGCAACTCAAGCTTGCTATAGAGATCACTCGACCTTACCGGCGAAGATCATAGAGTTGCTCCTCTCTCGTCCGGGGATTTATCCCTTTGCGCATCCGGATCCAGTCCTCGGCCGACTTTGGAGGATCCCCAAGCTGGGCATTTGCCATCTGCGACGAAACCCATGTCAAATCCTCGCGACTCACACCCACAGCGTCCTCTTCGCGAGATTCGAGAGCTTGCTGCTGCTGCGGAGCGAAGGAGATCGATGGGCACAAGATGGTGGCGGTGTGAGGGAACAGCAGGAAGATCACGAGCAGTGGAACAGAGACAACGAACCAGGAGAGAACGAGCGCTTTGGGACTGGCCATGGCTTGAATCTAAAGCTACATTCTCTAGAGCAATGTCAGGAACCCTAAAAATTAGAACTTGGTACGGCAATGGTATACGGACGTTAGGTCACCCATGGCGATGGCGTCAATGCGGGGCTTGCAGATGTTTATCACGGATGTGAGGAACTGCCAGAGCAAGGATCAGGAGATGGCGCGCGTCGAGAAGGAGCTCAATAAGATCCGGATGAAATTCTCATACGAGAAGGTAGCAAATCTCTCTCTCTTTTTTTACGTTTCGATGGAACTGTGCGCAAATTTCAGAGTTTATCGTCGTATGAGAAGAAGAAATACGTGTGGAAGCTGCTCTACATCCACATTCTTGGCTATCAGCTTGATTTTGGGCATCGAGAGGTTCTTTCGCTTGTTGGATCGCATAAATATGCTGAGAAGCAAGTGAGTTCTCTCGGAGTTCTACTTTTCTCTCTCTCTTGCTTCACTGCTTATAGCTAAGGGCTAAGGAAATGCTCGCAGGTTGGCTACATGGTTGCTGGATGTTTGCTCCACGAAAACCATGAGTTTCTCAACTTGATCACCAAAGCTATTCGTCTCGACATTATTGGTCGCAGCGAAACGTATCAGTGCCTTGCACTAACAATGGTAAGATCAATCGAAAGCTTTACACCAAGAGAAAAGAAGAAAACTCTCTCGTGCATGATCACAGATTGGAAACATCGGCGGCAGAGATTTTGCCGAAGCCTTGGCTCCGGATGTACAAAAGCTTGTCGTAAGTAGCTCCATTACTGCTCCTCTCGAATTGACAATGGAAGGCGCTATTTCTTTTCCAGGTTTCTGGTTCTTGTCGACCACTTGTGCGGAAGAAGGCGATTCTCTGTCTCCTTCACATTTACCGAAAGCATCCGGAGGTTATCCAACTGGATATATGGTAAGGAACTTATCCTAGTTTGCAGCATCAACTTGCATTGCTTGAAACTGGCTTGATCGGTCTGTAGGCCTGACCACATTGTGAATCTTCTTGACGAAAGAGATTATGGTGTTCTTTTATGTGTGATGACATTGCTTGTTGCACTAGCTTCAAATAATCCTCAGCAGTATTACTACTGTGTCTCAAAGTGTGTTCGCATTCTAGAAAGATTGTTGCGAAGTCAAAGCATTCCACAGGACTACACGTTCTATGGAATCCCGTCTCCTTGGCTGCAGGTTTCTAGCTTAACTGCAGCTTCAGCAAATTCAAGTGCTAATAGTTCACTTTCAGGTGAAGACGATGCAAGCATTGCAACTGCTTCCATTGCTTGAAGACCCCTCTAGTGTGCGGCTGCTTCTCGAGGTTGTCTTCGTTCTCTCTCCCTCTCTTTTTTCTTCTCGTTAGACTTTATATGACCATCGTTTTTTCTATCAGCTTCTCGAACGTGTTGTGATTGGGACCGACATCACTCAAAGTATAAACAAAACAAATGTTATGCACGCGGCTTTGTTTGAAGCCATGGAACTGGTAAGTTACTTCCTAGTTTTAGTCCGGCTTTGCTAACGATACTACAGCACCCTTGTCACAGATCATGCTGATTGATACACAGCAGAGTTTGATCCCAAGGTGTATGGTATCGCTTTCGAAGTTTGTTAGTCTTCGTGAACCGAACCTTCGATGTCTAGGCATGGTAATGTGCTTTGATGTACTCTCATTATATACTACTAACGTTGTTCATTGTAGAGAGTTTTAGCCCGGCTGCTGTCTGTGGCCGACGTCCGTGATAATGTGTGTGTTTATGAAACTGACATTCTATTCTCCTTGAGAGAGGAAGACCGAAGGTTGGTTTGTTTGTTTTCCGGGTTTCCTAGTGATAAGTAACCCATTTGACAGTATCCAGAAGGTCTCTGTAGACCTTCTTTACGAAATATGTGATGCGACGAATGTCAAGCGCATAGTTGAAGAGTCCTGGAGGTATTTGGTTTTGTTTGTTTTGATTTCGAAATCAAACGGTAACTTGTATGTAGTGTTTCTCTACGGCCGAGTTTGATGTTCAAGAAAGTATTGCCACAAAGGCTGGCCTTCTTGCAGAAAAATACGCAACAGATTGCTCCTGGTAAGCACAAGCTAGTGCTGGTTCAGAATGAGATGCGGTTTTGTTGAGATGTGGTGTGTGTCAGGTATGTGGACGTTGTTTTGCTTCTAGTTGAAAAAGGTGGAGCCCTTGTTCCGGATGATGTCTGGCGAGGGTTGATTCAATGCGTTGCAGAACATGACGATATACAAGTCTACGCCGCCACCAAAGCTCGGGAGTACATCAGCAAACCGATGGTTCACGAGACCATGCTTAAAGTAAGTTTTTCTGATTTCCGAACGACGACTCAGTAATGATTTTTTTGTCAGATTGCTGGGAGTCTTCTTGGAGACAACAGCCATTTACTTGCGCGAAAACCTGGCTACACTCCCAAGGAGATCTTTTGGGCCCTTCACGATAAGTTTTCAAATGTGAGGTAGGATGTGTGCTCCACTGAACTTTAATGAGTTTGATTATGTTTCCAAACAGTACGCCAACCAAGATGGTGCTGCTGTCTGCCTATATCAAATTGTTACTGCATACACAGCCTGCAGATGAAGAGCTCCGGAAGGAAATTTTTCCTCTTTTTGAAAAGTGAGCTATTCTTGTTCTTTCCTTCCCTCATACTAGCATTCACTACAGGTATGGGGAGCACCTTGAAGCAGACTTGCAACAACGTGCTATGGGATTTTTCTCTTTAAGCCAGCAGGATCAGAATATTTCTAATGAAGAACCAAAGCGACAGGTTCGTTCTTACAAGTGATGATTCTACGCAGTCTGACGTGCTTTTGCAGGAAGCTCCGGTAAAAAGCTCAAGGGATTCTCTCCCTGGAGTACGTTATTTTGATTTTCTCATCGTCAGTAACATTTTTCTGGTCTATATTCCATCCAGACTTCAACAGCTAGAGCACCTGAAGTAGATCTTCTTGGGGACTTAGTGGCTCCTCGGCAAAACGACCCATTTCAAACGGGAATTACAAAGGATCCATTCTCTTCAATGCTCGCTCCTGCTGTTCAGGTAATAGAGTCTTTATTATCCTTGCAGTAACTTGTTCTTTGTTTCTTTTGGTTTTTGCAGCCAACTGGAAACCTCATCGAATGGTTTAACGCCTTGTGTTACAAGGATACTGGAATCTTGTATGAAGATCCATACGTTCAGGTTTCTGGCATTGTTTAAGCTTGCAATTTGTGATTTTTCTTGGGTGCTTAGATTGGGATTAAAGCGCAATATCAAGGTCCTCGTGGCGAGATAAATTTCTATCTTGGTAATAAGCAAAGCGAGACTTTGACATCAGTCCGAGCCATTATCCTACCTCAGCCACATCTTAGAGTTGAATTTCCGGGAGCTCCTCCAAGCATACAAGCTGCTGAACAGGTAGTAATGTCGTTGATAAGACTTCTAATTTCTTCATGATCGCCGTTGCAGATACAAGTGCTTCTTAAAGTGGCATGCTTGTATGCTGGGAGAATTGCTCCACTTCTCGACTTTTCTTATATGGTTTCTGGCATGACAGTAAGCTAAGCTTTCCCGTGTTTTATTTAGTGCTAACGTCCGCAGAACTCTTCTAGGTGTCTGTCAAATTGCGGATTCCAATTGTAATCAGCAAGTTTTTGCAACCAGCCACTCTCTCTGCAAACGATTTTTTTTCTGCCTGGAGAGCTCTTGTTACAGCTCCAAACAAGCTTCAAGAAGTGGTATATGATCCTTTTCCATCGTTTTCTTCTGACTTCTATGAATCCCTTTACAGATTCGTGGACTGCAGTATTCTACTGTCTCGGAGTTTTCTGACAAGCTAAACGGACTTCGCATAGGCGTGGCTACTGGACTGGTAAGCTAAGTCTGTTTTATAGATGCAAAACACGTAGACAAAGTTATCTTCCAGGAACCCAATCCCAATAACCTCGTTGCAGCCTCGAGTTTTCATTCAGAAACTGGTGGTGCTTTGCTGTGCATGGTAAGTTCATACCATTACGTACTCATTCCAGAGCTAAACAGGTTCCGTTTTCCCAGGTACGCATCGAAACAGATCCGGCTGATAAGACGCAGTTACGCTTGACAGTCGCGTCGCCGAATTCACGCTTAGCACTAGAGTAAGCTTGATACTCTAAGCAGCACGTAGCTTGATTTTCTCATTTTTTTGTCCAGACTCAAGGAGTTTCTCAAAGAGCAATTGCCTGTGACTTTGCCAACGTCTACTCCTCCTGTTCAAACAGCTATGGTTCCAGTCCCACCCGTTTTACAGCCAGTTCTGCAGCCAGTTCAGTCAGTTCCAGCACCGATACTCTCCGCCCCTCCCATCACTGCAATGAGTTCTTCCAATCTGCAAGCGTTTCCCACAGTTTCCACAGGCTTCGCTCAGAAACCTCTTCCTCTTTCTCGCAGTTTCACAACTCTGGCCATGATGGCTGGTCAAAATCTTTCGAGCTCCAATCCCTTCCCACCTATGAACGTCCCCGCGGTGCTTAATGATCCTCTTGCTGATCTCTTCGCTCCCAGTGATTTTGCGGCCTTAGCAAAGCCTTCCGCGTCATCATCCAATGCTGCACCAGTTTCTCTTCAAGAACCTCTCTCCTCAGCTGCTGTTCATATTCCTGCTTCGAACTACAGACAGGAAAACACTGGAGCCCCAGACAGTATTGATCTTCTCGGACCCGACACTTCAGCCGAAGCTCTAGTCTCCAATCCAAGCTCGAGCGGCGAACAGTTTACAGCTGGCAATCCGTTTACTGACCTCGATAGCGCTCCTGAAGCTTCTACTCCACCTCCAAATGCTCAACCGAGAAATCCAGCGTCAACTTTTGACTTCGAGGACCTCTTGTAGATAACAGGTACTTCTTCTTCTCCGTTTTCTTTTATCTCATTTCTCGCTCTAGGGTTGTAATGGCTGCTGCAGAAGGTAGCGGTGCTGCTGCTGCGCCATCGTCCCTGGATGGTGTTGGAGGCGATTCTTTACCGGTAAACTTTCATGGGAATCTCGTTAGTGCACGCAACAACGAACAGTTTAAGTCGCTGTTGGATCGGGCCAAGGCGTCAAAGAAGACGGTGAGCCTGTACTTCAAAGAGATTCCTCTTCCCTTATATGAGCTTTTTTTTATTTCTCTCGCTCTCTTTGCTATCTGGCTTTGATACACTGATAGACGATCGTGAGCTTTGGAGCATCATGGTAACGATTTACCATTCTTCGTTTCTTTGCTGATGTATTTCTTTTTCTTCTCTCGATGCATCCAGGTGTGTTATGTGTAAACAAATGCTCCCGACGTTTTGCAATCTTAGCAACGAATACCCGCGATCGCTGTTCATCTACGCGGACATAGACGAGTGCCCGGACGAAACCAAAGACGTGCGCTACACCCCCACATTCCGGTTCTACTCCAACGGCGACAAAGTGGACGAGTTCTACGGAGTTGGAGCTCAGAGGCTCCGTGATCGCGTCTGGCTCCACTCTTAGAACTCTCGCGGACATTACGGATGACGTGAGAAGATAATAAAATTGTATGCACAGAAGCGCCAAAACCTGACCAGAAAATCTCTCCGGCCAGAACGTATGCAGGATTACAAGCCAACTCTACAGTTATGTTTGCCACATTGAAGACAATCAAGAGTATATTTCTTGGGTGGGCCCAATATCTCCATGCATAGAATATGGAAAGAGAATATAAGAAATATACATATAAATTAGCCCAAAAACCTTGATGCTGAATGAATGAATATGAAATATAAACAAACTATGCTTGTTTGCTTGAGCTTTCATTGGGTAAACCAAACATCTCATACACACAACATCAAACAACCAAACATCTTGTCATACCAACAAATCAAACCATCTGTGAACGATCAAGTTTCTTAACCACGATAAATAAGGTTGTTTTGATACTCGTGGGTCTCATGATTTAAGTTTTTTAAAAAGGCCACGACAGCTTTTCAATATTTTCCTCTACAAACGCACAGCTGATAAGGAGTGTGCTTTGATCATCCTGGCCCAAAACACCTTGCTGAACATTCTTCAGTTCAACCTTTATGACAAAAGCTTAAAACGAGTTTTAAAACAGGAAGCATAGTGGCACTATTAGTTGATTCATTGTTCTAACTCCCCTCTGCAAGAGAATCATGTCCTCCCAACAAGATGTAGTTGCTCGCTCTTCTTCTTTCTCTCACACCATTGATGGAGATAGTATTTCTTCCAATGTCCAATTCCAATTCCTCCGCCACAACCAGCCTTCCTAATCATAATCATGCTGCTGCTGCTGTTCTGTGTTTGAATCCAAGATGACAATGCTGCTCCAGGGATCTGGGAGTTCACCCTCTGCGAAGGCCGCCAGCAACAATTCTTCTGCTCATGATCAATCGGTCTCCTCGGAGACTGGAAGCCTCTTGTGGTTCTACTACAAGAACAAGAATATCCGATTCTGGCTGCCAATTGTCGTCCTGCTCAACAGCTGCCTCACCTACGTTTTCTTCGTCCGTGGCAGCCAGAATTCCCCGGTTGCTCCAATTCTCCCAGATCTCCAAAACTCCTCAAATTCAGGTAATTTAGATTTGAAACAAAGTTTCAGGGATACTAAAATGCTACAGACACCTGCGATTTGAGCAAGGGCGAGTGGATTTTCAACTCGACACCACCGCTCTATACGAATTCCACCTGCGATCAAATCCAGCTTCTCCAGAACTGCCTGGGAAATGGGAGGCCTGACACGTGCTACCTGCATTGGCGATGGCGGCCTCACAACTGTGAGCTCCTGCTTTTCGACCCCGCCACCTTTCTCGAGCTCATGCGGGCCAAAAGTATGCTCTTCTTTGGGGACTCGCTCGCCAGGAACCACATGCAGTCGCTTCTTTGCTCCCTCTCCCCGGTGAGTTCCTCAAACCTCGATTCAAATTTGTCTCAATGTGGTCACATAAAAAAGGTGGAGAGACCCGACAAGGTGTACTCGCGAGAGGACAAAGGACGTGAAATGGGAGTTCCAATCCTACAACTTCACGCTTGCCATCGTCTGGTCGCCATTCCTCGTCAAGCATGTCAAGGTTCACGACGATCCACTTCTCTTCAATCTCCACTTGGACGTCCCACACCCGGCATGGTGGCCATCGCTCGCGAGCTACGATTTCGCGGTCATGTCCACGTCCCAGTGGTTCTTCCGCCCAAGTATCTACACGATCAACAACACAATCTTTGGCTGCAACAAGTACTCGCACGAAAACTACACTGACGTACACTTCCTCACGGCGCTGGAGCTCGCATTCCGTACGTCCCTCCGCGCCATCGCCAAGCTGTACGGCTACAAGGGGACCACGTTCCTCCGTACTGCGTCTCCGGACCACTTCGAGCACGGGACGTGGAGCAACGGCGGGACGTGCAACCGTACGCGGCCGACGCACTCTGTACGCGATGCCATACGCGGTGGCGTTGGTGAGGTGGAGCTGCCGTGGCTGCCGAGCAATCTCAACCGTGTGCAGCGCGACGAGGCACGGAAGTTCGACCCATCCAATGGCTCCAGGCTGCGGGTGCTGGACGTGACGTACAGCACCTTCCTCCGGCCAGACGGCCACCCCGGCCATACAGAACATACCAGCCATATGCAGGAGAGATCACCCGCTACATCCGAAATGATTGCTTGCACTGGTGCTTGCCCTGGCCTGTGGATATGTGGAACCAGCTCCTCCTGGAATCAGTGAAGAAGTCGGAGAAGACACAATAGTTTGTTCTTTTGTTCTAGTCAAGTTTGTCTAGAGAAGCTTTCTTTGGCGAATTTAGTCCAGGCTCTAAAAAACTTGAATTGTAAACTTTGCAAGAAACATGAGATCTATTTTACAACAATAAAACACATAGACCTGCAGTAATGTTACTAGTCATGTCCAATTCCAAGCTTCTTTAGGTGATTTTGACCTTGGCTCTTCTCAAGCAAGAAAAATGTGGGTTTATTGAGTATCAGCAAAACTTGAATGATGGCTATTACTATTGCACACAAAGAAACTTTCTTGGTGGAAAGCATGGCTACTGGAGCAGAGCAGCATACCTCTCTTAAGAGTTGCATAGGACAAGATTGCTTGGCATCATTTTGTGGGGAGATTGGTTTAAATCTTCTTTTGATTTTTTTCTAATAATAAAAAACTATTTTGCCAAAGGATTTAATATTTTCATAGTCAGGGTTTATTATGGCAAGTAATTTATGCAGACCTAGCGGCAAAAAAAAAATGTATTAAGCTGCAAAATGTATGAATTTAAAACACAATTGTAAAATATATATATATGACTCACAAATAATCTTTTGGATGCCATGTTTTTTTTCAAGACATATATATATTGGCATGCATTGCCACATATGAGTTCTTAATCCATGTAAGTTTATTTACCACATCAACATCTTCTTCTTTGTCACTAAAGTTTAGCAAGAATGGCAAGAATGTATGTCTTTAGATGTGCTCACTACATCACTTCCATTCTAGTGAGCAGAATGGAAGCACAGCTAAACTAGGCATGATAGATGTTAATTGTGAGAAGAGCATTAGCCATAAGCCATCACGTGCTCGCTATTGTCCATTGTCAACTACACCACACCATTGCTGTGCTCAATGAAGGCCTTTGATGCATTGAGCACACACTTGTGATCTTTAGCAGTTACATGCAGTTGGGTGTTGATCTAGAGTCTGGCAAATCTCTACCTCAGAACAGAAAATCACAAATACCACACATATTACAATATGATGCTCAAACTCTTCACCAAGAACAAAAGTTTGTTCTAGGGGAGTAGAATCCCAATAGAGACTAGATAAGCATATTAGCGAATTGATAGAGATTGTAGTTCTGTATGGCATGCTAGATGAGTCGGAATGTATGATCCTATTGTCAAAAAAAAGGAGATGACGTGTGGCATGAAGTGTTTATGCATGTGGCATGTCCTATGCAAATATTATAATACACACAATTAGGTTTAGATTGCTATTATAAAAATTAAAATGTGATTGTGTGCAATTAAAAACAAAAATTATACTCACATATGTAAATATAACAACACAATATTTCTACAGTTTGAATTCAAACTTGAGCATAAGTAAAAGCCATGTCTATGGTTCCTCAATTCATAACCAAGTGAAATGCCCCTTTCTATACATATCAATAACAATGGTGGATTAAACTCTTTTAGGGGGAGATGTGGTGCAATTTGATTTAGCACTTCAAAATGATGATTTTGACTATGGAGTGCTATTGCCTAATTGATATGAGGGATGATTGGTATGCTCATGGCTTGCTTGAGGTTCTTTATGCCAACTTTATGCAATGCCTTCAGAAACCATATAATGCACACTCTCACAAAGAGGCATAGATATTGCCCTACACATATTCTGGCAAAATTCCCACTGAATGAGCAAAGGGTATGGTGGTGACAAAGTTTCTATTCTAATATATGTTCAATGCAATATTATTGTGTTTTTAACCCCAAGAGACATTGTTGCATTAAACAATGACAAAGTGTACCAAAACACTGCTTTTGTCCCTTTTCACGAGGTATACATGCAAGGTCTCTCTCAATCAATTCACCTAGTGTTTTTTCTTTCCAAGAGCTAGTAGGCCTCTACAATTACATGTATAAAAGTAATGTGGAAGGCCTTGAGTTCAACCACAAGGTCATCTTGCACCTCACATTTACACTAGAGGATGTATATTCCATATCACCCTTCTCATATGTATGTATTTAGATCATACTATCACATTAATAGGGTTGCCTGTGCAACAAAGAGAAGCATGCTAGATGCTACTTCAGGCCTTGATATATAATATTAGCTTGAGTATGGTCAAGCACTGTGACTGGCAAATGTAGAGCCACACCTTCCTAAGGCAATAACTTACTCCTCCAGTTTAGAGGTTGCGGACCACTACTATGATGCAGAGCAATTTCTGCACAAGCTAAGGTATACCTCTATTCAGTGTGTGTTGAGTGGCTTAGGCAAGATACAGTATTGGATATAATGACTATTTTCATTTAAGTGAGGCTTTTATGGGGTTATGGGACAACACTTTTATAGAGTTTAGGTGATAACAATTTTGTGGAGTTTATACAATAATAGTTTTGATAAATATAATCACATAAAAAGATGAAGTTTAAATATAATATGTAGGATTTTGGCTCTGTTTCTTCATTCAGTGGCCCAAGGCTTTGAATCTCGGGTTCCGCTCCACTATCCTTGGGCACATGGCAACTTTGATAATAACCTACACTAAGGAATTCCATGCATGTAGCAAAATGATGGAGTATGTGCAACTTTCAGGTTCTAATTGCCATTATTGCAGTCTCAAAGAACACTTTCACCTCCATAAAGACCCATACATGCACTTATATGTTGTATGGTGGATGTTGTGTAGTGTCGAAAGTTTGCTAATAAAGTGTTAGTCACTGTTATTATCTCAATGAAGAAAATGTGATGCATTGAACTTGAGGGTACATAACACCAACCTCTACTGCCCCTAGGATCTCTTTGTATTCTTGTAGACCCTTATTTTGTCAAGTGAAATTTGT